TTAATCAAATTAATTAAAAAAAAAATTATCACAAAGGCAAAATTAACTATTTGTGAAAAAAAAAAACACTGACTACTGGACTTCATTTAGATCAGCTTTTCCCACATCTGCATTGTGTACATGAACGCAATGGCCAATCAGAGCGGTTTAATTTAGGTTATAATTTAATGTATTTGTTCATTTAATTACATTTTATAATTTATTGATTATAATCAGTGATTACAACTAGTCCAAATCAGCATCTGATTCACAAATTATTTATGTTTTAAGCCTCTGTTTGCAGTGGCACACAAAAATGAATGTTGAAGAAATGTCACCTGACATTATAAAAAAAAGAAGCTTTATAATCCAAATGAAATATAATTTGGAATTATTTTATAGTTGTAATATGATACTGCATGCTTATTATGTAGATGGTGGAACACCCAATAAACACTGCAAGTGACTAACCTGAGAAACTGAGAATGCTATGATCAACAAGATGTTGACATGGTGTAAATAGAGGTTTATTCTGCAACATGGCAAGCTTTGTTGATTATAATGAGAGTTCAGAAGTCAGGGCTCAATAGTTGCTCATGAGTGATAATGCCATATTCGCATTGCTTGCTTTTGGTGTATGATTTATTCAATAAGAGGGCCAGTGTGAAATTGACTGTTTAGGCACTGTTTTGATTTGCAGTTGCATAAATGACAAAAGTAATTCAGGATCACAGTTTTCAACTTGTTTTGGATGTTGCCAGAAAATACAACATGCCATTTTTCTTTGTTTCTGTTATAATTGTGCAGCCCTACTCACAGTCAATCTAGTATTTGTATTTGAAATAGTCATATAATCAAGCTCTGCTATGCTGCATCGTGAACAGAAACACATTTTTGGGTTTGTATCTTTACACACCAGCACATAATCTTTCGGGGGGTTGGTTGTAGTTGACTTTTCCAGCTGGCTTCAGCTCATAGAATTATCTTAGCATAAAATGTTCTGATTAATCCTTAACAGCACAGTATTTTTAACACTTTTACTTTTCCCTTTCTGCAGCTTAGCATTGCTCACATATCCATACAAGTGTGAGATTGGGCTCTTTATAACTTTAGATCCTTATTTTTTTTATGTATCATTTAGTGCTGTGTTCGATACATCGATATGACAATGTATCATCACAGAGATTGGAAAAGAAAAGACTAGAGGTGTGACCTCGGCATCCTGGCCAAATTTGCCCATTGGCCTCTGATCATCATGGCCTCCTAACAATCCCCATATCTACTGATTGGCTTCATCACTCTGTCTCCTCTCCACCAATGAGCTGGTGTGTGGTGGGCATTCTGGCGTCCAGGTGGATGCTGCACACTGGTGGTGGATGAGGAGATACCCCTGACAATGTAAAGCGCTTTGAGTGCCTAGAAAAGCGCTATATAAATGTAATGAATTATTGTTATTATTATTATAATTTGATGATACGAGTATCGATACAGCTGGCCCTGTATCGATATTATGGCACGTGTGTAGCAGTGGACAGCACTTAATTTGAATACAAGAACAATGTTTAAAATTGAGCAGAAAAGTGCGAGGTTTCTAAAAAATAATGAATACAGCATAATGTATAGGCTATAACAAGGTTTAATCTGGCCGCAAAGGAACACAACTGGGTTGCCTGATATAAAGAGACGAAATCCCCGAAACAGAGCTTCCACTTGGCCTCTGTATCGTGATACGTATCGTATCGTGACTTTGCTGGTGATACACAGCCCTAGTATCATTACAGTAATATTTCCCTAAGCCGTAACTCCAAACTTCAAATTTAGAGGGCCTCCTGTAGCTGTGTTCAGTCTAATTTATATAAAGACTGATTATTTTGTACATTAATTTGCTTTAGCAGGCTCCAGGCCATAGTTTCTGCACCAGTATGAGCACTCAACTAAAAACAGTTCCCTTTCATGGGAACTTCGAACTGCGTCCTCTAGGGGT